CCCCAAATCACTTTGTACAACTTAACATATGTCACTTGTACTTCCCAGTCTATTAATGTGACTGGTGCATTTCAGACTTGTGCCGTGTTTTCAGTGATACGGTGATGCTACTGGGTTTGACCTAGACAAAATGCCATCAACACTTGAACAGAAAAGTGACCAGGGTGCTCCTTCAGACATGAAGCCAACGTGTTCAATATTTATGTTCATGAAAGGAGTGCAGGAGGAATGCAGCCTGTCTTCAGTGACAGTGGGCTCGAGGTGGCAGAAACTCTGGACAGGTCGCCAGTGTAGTGCAGAACCTGAGTTAATGTGGACACCGGGCTAAGAACTGTTTAACCGTTTAAACCCGCAAGTTACAAAGTTTTCAAATAAGACATTAAGTTACATTCTGTCCTCAGCGAAGCAGCAAACAACAAGGGAGGAAGTTTTTAAAACACTCATCTCCGATTACCAACCAGTCTCAGTGTTATTGTCCCAAACATTTAGGTCCTTCTTGGGATACAAACTTTCAGCCTTTTCCCTTTAATAGTTACTGAGATGTTATAAGATTAACTTTCAAAAATTGGATATGGTAAAAATACACCAAACCTGCTTGACCTTCCGGTTTCTGGTCTTCCTCAGGATACTTGTTTATGTGGGTTGTTGAAACTCTGAATGTTCCGACTTTATTGAGACAAAGTTTTCACACAATGCGGAAAGGTTCTAAGAGTGATCCAACCAGATGGATGACTTGTGGATTTCATAGATGAACAGGAGCCATTTTTTATGAAGGATTAATTACCCTGGCTCTGTCCTATGCGGATGTTTCCTATTTGTAACCCTAAGAAAATGGCAAACGAAATTGAAAACGACTTTCAAAATTTATTGGACAGGGAAGAACTTAAATGAGGTATTTAGTCTTCACAATTACTGTAAGATGGAGAGTTGTCGAATAAAAATGGGCTTTAATATGTTCAAAACAAGTGAGTAATGTATGAAAATGTAAGTAAGTGTTAGGTAAAATAGTGAAACAAAGGTCTACAGAGTTACGACATTAAACATTTTATTTGACATGTAGATTTTGTAAAATTGTTTAAAGTACTATGAGTTGGAAAACCATGATTTTTCTTTTAGCCCAGTAACAATAGTATATAACTCTTTCACTTGGGACAAATATTGGAGTGGTTTCACCAATAATAAATGCTCAAGGAATGTTCAGATATTGGCCATAAATTTAAAAAAATTGTCATTTTAGTATTTCTTTTGTCATGAAGTATGCCTCTGACTTGCACCATACTCTACATTTTAAAGCTCCTATTGGGGACAATCAGAGGAAAAAAATTCAGCCTCTTAAGGTAAAAAAAATCTTATGGTTGGTTGATAATAGAAGTAAACAGAAACATGAAGTAATAATAAGTGATTTGTATTATCCTCTCAAAGCAGGGTGGTACCATTCTAGACCAGCTGGACATATCAATCAGCCTGCAAAGTTTCAGGATTCTAGCTACAGGATTTCTGAAGTGATGGCACTTCCAGCATTGTTCCACAGATTGGTACGAGAAAAAAAACATGCAAAAATCCACATGACCTTGCCCCTTTTTCAAAAATGATAACTCCCAATCTAACGTTTCCCATGACCCCAGTGTTTACACGTGGTCAACTCAGTCAATATTCACCACTTAACACGAAAATAGTCTGTCAAACTAAACATAGTCAGGGGTGGGACATCGGTGAATTGAGGTGGAATAACTGAGAAAGTAAACAAGAAAACATTTAACAACACATAAATATGTTCTCGACAGGCGTCTGCGCTGTGAGAATTTTGTAGTTCTGTATTTATAACATTTAAAAATTAAAATGAATGAGAGCAGGCTTTCTCAAAGATAGCTTACCGTCTACATTTTCTCACACTAAAAATATCGTACCAGTTTTAGTATGATGTGGGTCAGTGCACTTCAGCTGTTGCCCGTATGATCACCATTAGTAAGGGGAACTGCACAGTTCAAAAGGTAGCCTCATTTGACATTATTACAGAAGATGCTGTAACATATACTTGTAGAATCGGCCTTTTTCCTGTTTGTTTATGTGCAGTAAGAGTCATTTTGAGACCTTTTTGTGGTACAATGAGTGCATTGTAGGGCTATACTCTGTTCCACGCTTGTGAAACACAGGCGTAGCACATTTTTGCCTTTAATAAGGAACGAGCTGACAGGAAAGGTGGGTGAGGAGAGAGGGGAAATGACATGCAGTAAATCATGCTACAGGTCTGCGATAAGTACTTCTTGCCTCGATTCACGAGTTGCCTGCTTAACCGAGTGAACCATTTTGACAACCTTTGAGAAAGCATTTAGAAATGTTTAAGTAGACACTCTAAAAATTGTTAACTGCTCTTTTATTCCTATATTTCACTTTTATGCTTCTCTGTGTACGGATGCCAGGTCAACAAAAAAACTTTAGTTAATAACATGACCTTCGCAAAAACTCAAAATACAAAGAAAAATGAAGAACATAGTTAAGTTTGCTTTATGTTCCCATGTGTATAAATTAACGTTCTTCAGTAGCGCTCTGCAAGGACATTATTTTGAACCAACCACTACTATATCACTGATTCTTGAGATATGGGATAAAATATGTTTTAATTTTGAATATTAAGTACAACTTTAAATTGAAATGATTTGACATTTATGCACCTTAGTTTCATTTACGTCAACTCCTTCAGACATGCTAACAAGCACTTAGGAAAAGGAAAATATATGTCCTACAAGAATTCAAACGTCTCAAACATCTAATATTGGTATTCAGTAACAAAGCACACTAATACAATGCATTACACGCATTTTTGTTCTGATTCTTCTCAATTCTAAAATATCCCATTTCTCGATTTCCTAATTTTGTCCCCACTTCTTTTTTTTGTACTAAGCATATGAAACAAATCTTTACAGACAAATAACATATAATTTCATTAAATTTAGCTGGCACTTAAAAGCATAAGCACATGAACACAGCCACGGTGAAACAAACCCACTGGAGAATGCTTACTTTCATTCATTAATCCATGCTGGTATCATTTAGTTAATGTGCAGCAAACATAACATACCTGGTTAGTGAGAATGAACTATGACTGTACATACTTCTGTCTGTATGTGATGAACTTTTGCTGAATGTTTGGACAGATTGCAAACGACATGTTACTCTTGTGGCAACAAACATTTTCTGCATCACCTGTAGTGATCATACTTTAGAACGTTTACTCCTCTCCTCCGTTGTCACCTGTATGAGCAGCAGGTAGGAGACAGAGAGCTGCTCCATCCCTCACACACAAGGTGTTTTATCTCCAAAACTCTCTTTAGAATTTGGAAATTGAGAATGAGTATGCAGCAGAAGGTTCTTTTTACTGTCTTCTTTAAGAACCAATAGCAGGACCATTAATGTCGGACTTACTGATTTTCCGATATATAAAAATGCTTTGCCTTAGGGCTTGATACCCATCTCTAGTAACTGCAAACACAATGGTCTGCCAGGCACAGTGTGCAGATTGGAGTGGTTTCATCTATTTGTAACAAAGCTAACCACGATGTCAGTGTGTTCCTGTTTCCCAAAGTCTGAGAAGGTTCTGCTGCTTTTTATTGCCAGAATTTGGAAATAAGCAAACATGACCCATAGTTTATTTTTGTAATTGTTTAGATGACAGCAAGCTACACTTCCTGTACTCCAACTCGTTAGCATTACTCCACTTAATACATGTATAATAGAAATCTGAGCCCATCAGTGGCAAAAACAAGTGCTTTTCGGGGACTTCTTTGAGTATATGTACACATGTTGCAGGGCTGTGCTTACTGGGTTGTAGCTTATTGGATTGATTCCCAACATCTTTGTGCCAGTTCATCATTTCAACCAAAAAAACATGCTTATATGGGGTTTAAAGGTTTAAAAATACCAAATTTGTCCTTCAAGGAAAGCCAGTTTGTTTCTGGCAGCAGAGGAAAATGGTAACACATTGTTGAGCTTTAGTGAACTTACATGTAAATTCAAGCTATTGACTAACAGCAAACCTGCTTTGCCTCTGTGTAGCACTAGTTTTATTATTTTTTAGCAACTGGAAGGTGACAGAAGCCAGAACACATTTTATAAGCACACAACAAAGCTACATGGTGATGGAGGCCCATACAAACAAAGCACGAATAAAATCTAAAGTCAACATGTCTACAGAGATATGGTGCAGGTCACTGGTCTGGCTCTGCCAGATCTTTATCCTGCTGACAGGTGCATGTGTTTCAAGGTGACAAGTGCAAAAGTACAGTACCAGTCAAAAGTTTGGACACACCTTCTCATTTAATGGTTTTTATTTTAAAGTGGTAATCCCCCTGCATTACTGTCATCTGATGCCTGTTGTTCTTTGCCTCAGATCCAGAACATCCAGCTGGAGAGAGAGATGGCATTGGCGTCAAATCGCAGCCTGGCTGAACAAAACCTGGACATGAAACCTCGTTTGGAGACACAGAAGGAGGTGCTGGTCGAGAGATATTCTCAGCTAGAAGCTGTCAGAGAAACCTACAGACAACATTGCTCCCTGAGAGGTAGGGTGAGAGATGGGCAAATGGAGGATGAATGGAGATGGACTGTTGACCAGTAAAGTGTGATTATGTTTGTTCAGCAGCCTGGGCCAAACTTTGTATATGTCACAAGCTTTTTTCCTGCAGTCCACCAGAAACTGTGAAGGCTTCTTCATACAGATTTATCAATGTTAAGACCATCGATGTTATTACTCAGCATAACATAAAACTGTGCTCATCGGCACTGAAAAAAATAAACAGCTTGGGTGTAAACAAATGAGCTGACTGACACCAGCTGTGAAAACCTGAAGCCTTTGAGACTTAAACAGTGAGTTCATTTATTTTCTAAAATGCCAAGTTAAGGTGAAAATGGACAATAGCATTGCTGTATCTATATTTTTGACCCAGCAGTTTTTTTCCACATTTCCAGAAGACCTACAATAAATCTATGAAAATGCTTGATAGCCATTTTCTTCATGCCAGTCCGAGGAGCAATGTTTGAAGTGCCATAACTGAAAAAATAATGTAGCCAGAGCCCAGAAAATTTGCAGGTTTATTGATATGTACATATAGGTTTTAATGGCACAACCCTGCTCTGATAGAATAATACAAACCAGTTATATGATGGTGAAAATTTGGTCCAAAAATGTCGAGCATGGTACCTGTGACTGGCACCATACTCATCATTTTTAAAGCTCCTATTGGGGCCAATCACAGGGGAAGAAATCTGCCGCTAATGAAAAAGGTTTTATGGTTGGTGAATAATCGAAGTAGACAAAAGCATTTTTGACCAAATCAGTCAAATTGAAGATGGTCAGGTGTGGGGTATTCGGTAAATTGAGGTGCATGTGTTTCAAGGATTCTTATCATGGAAAATAAAAGCATTATAGGAGTCACTGGAAACTCAAGACTGCCATGATATCTGTGGTTTCCACATAAAATTCCACATAAAATTTTGTTCAAAACTGTAGGTGCTGATGACCAAACATCTCCTTGTACAGTCTCTACATTCCAACAATTTGTTTTAAGCAGCACCTGTTGAAGTGGCACATGCACAGTCGCTGAACTTTATACACAGACAGTCCTCGCAATTTTGGTGGACGTGGACAGTCTGCAGAGACTGTTGGGGATTTGGATGGATGATGAAATTTACGTCACGTATAACCTGCAGACGTGTGCACGGAAAGCATGAATTGTCCTAAACAGGATGCTATTAGGTGCACATGGAGTAGCCACAGATGCTGAAGTGGCCTGCTGTTATTAATGGCATGTGAACCATCATCTCACTGACAAACTGATGCTTGTTATTGTTTCAGAGTTTAAAACAAATCTCAGTTTCAGTGCATGAAATAAAGACTTAGAGTAGTTTATCTACTTCTTTGTCTCCTTACACTCACTCACCATTTTAATAATGTTACAGCCCAGTTGTCATCAGTCTGAACAAGTCAGTGTGTGTACATTTTTATCTATTTGTCCTTTATCTTTATTATCTCTCTCTCTCTCTCTCTTTCTCTCTCCCCTTTGTGTCTCTCAATGCCCCTCTTGCTCTTCTCCTCCACCTCCTCAGATGGGATGGTGGGTCAAGTGTCTCCAGAGGCGTTGTTCTCAAGACTACAGACAGAGGGCGGCAAAACAGAGGCAGAGTCAGAGGTGAGTGTTTACCTTTCAAACATAGTCCAACTGGACACACATGCCACTTTATTAGACACACCTGTCAAGGCTGACGTAAAGCAATTCAACATGTTTGCCATAAATTCTACTTTAAGGAGCTTCTACATTTTTAGCTTTTGCTGATGTTGTCAAAAAAGGGGTTAATTGCAATTTATGTTAATAATCGACTTGTTGGTGGTGCACCAGACTGCATTACATTTGTGTTACTAGTATTTTTCCCACCTGATATATGTTAATGGAGTGAAAATTACTGTGGCCCATGAGTGGCGATAGATAAATACACATTCTTAGTGGAGGATTTGCTAATGTATTGGTATGAATTAGGGGCTGCACAGGGGCTCAGTGGTTAGCATCGTCGCCTCACAGCTAGAAGATCCTTGGTTTGCATTCCAGTTAGGACGCCTGGGATCTTTCTGCGTGGAGTTTGCATGTTCTCCCCATGCAGAGTGGGTTCTCTGTGGGTTCTCCAGCTTCCTCCCACAGTCCAAAACCATGCTGAGGTTAACTGGTGATTCTAAATTGTCTGCTTTCACGATCTAGCTCTAAAAAAACAGATCAGCAAAGTGCTTTAGACTTGGCACAGCTTCGTCACATTGGAAATCAAGAGCTAAAGTGGCAGGTCAGACAGTGTGACGTCAACATCTAGGGGCGGTGTCCCAGCAGAAAACCCTCGTTTTTCTTTGGCTCAGAACTGCAAGATGAAGCTTAATAAACAAATACATGAAACGGACATTACTCCAGAGAACACTGTTCTACTCTATGCTGAGGAGGATTGAGTCTGTCATCAGAAATCAAGGTGGACATGGACAAGTACTGCAAAAAATAGAAAATTTGAATTTCAGTAATGAAGACTGTACTGACTTGCATTGCTTTTAGTTCTTACTGTGGGGTCTGTATTTTTTTCACATAGCAATTCTAAACTGTTTACCTTTGAACGCTGCAAGTGTTTGCTGTGAGGTAACTGAAGAAATCAGTTTAGGGGGAGTTTGGCATATGCTCAGCAATAATCCTCACTGCTAATGTTGATGGTGTCTCTGTCTGCAGGCTCTAGCTGATGAGTTTCTGGAGGGGTGTCTGCCGTTAGACTCCTTCCTCGACCGTTTTCTCTCCCTGCGCTCTCTCGCTCACAAAAGACGTGTGCGAATAGAGAAACTCCAGGAGATTCTACGACAGAGAAGTGAGGGCAATCCCACTGCCATGACGTCATCAGCAGGCATCAGCCAGGACCCTGCCACCACGCCCTCGCCATGGAATCAACACACGACAACGGCATCGACAACAAATCAGCAGCAGCCGAACTCCAAACCTCAGTCCACCAACTACCAAAACGCCTCTCAGTCAGCCTCCTCGTCTGCAGGGGGCGCCTCTGGGCTCCCCTACAGCCCATACCCTGTCTCCCCACCGAACCCTGCCCCTGCGGTGGCAGCAGCAGGCTCAGTCCCAGCTAACCCCCCATCACAGTTCACTCCTTACCCAGGTTCAGGCTCCTCCTTCACCCCAACAGGGAGCTACTCTGGCCCAAGGCCTGCTTTTGGGCCTCCAGCTTCAGCTGCCTGTCCTTACCCAACTCAGCCCTCGTTTCCTGCCCCACACGTCGGCTCAGCATTTGGCCAGTACACCCCCAACCACCCCCAGAGCGGCCCTGCTCCTTACCCAGCCTCCTACAGCTACGGGGGTTACAGCTACCCAGCGGGGCCCAACTATTCCAATTCTCAGTCGCCAACGGGGAGACCCATCTACAGACCAGGATACGGAGTTCCACAGCAGTACTCCTGAAAGCACTAATGCTCCTCTCTCTCTCAGTTCTTCTGAATTCTTCCCCTCTTTGCTGTTTCACCCTTTTCGCTTCCCTCCCTCAACTCCACTCTCCCTGTCCTGACTCCATACCCCGCTCCCCTACCGTGACTCTTCCTTTCTCCTATGCTCCCCCACTCAAGAGGTCTCTTGCTTTACTTATCTTTGTTGCACTATTTCTCTCTTTCTCTAGCAGTCTGTCTCTCTGTCTTTCTCTCTTTCCTTTTTCCTTCCACTGTCACCCCTTCAACCCACTAACTCGCCCTCACTAGTCTCAGGTTGTTGCGTTGTGTTTAAGTGTACAACACTTTATCTGGCCCTTCATGTACTCACTCTTACCTCTGTCCATTTTTCCCCTCCTTCTTCCTCTTCCATTTCCAGTGTGTGTATTGCTATTTGGCAATCAGAAAGTCCTTATAAACACACAAGTGCACTCCCCTTTATGACAAACACATGACAAAAATCGGTCTTTGTAACACTACATCAGTTTTAAATAGCTGTCTGACTGAGTCTGTCTGGTGCACATTGTTTTTCATCAACACTGTCTGCACTGAGAAAATGGCCCCTTTTGGAAGGTTTTTTTTTTTTTGACTCATGGATTTAAATAATTGTATTTAAAATGGAAAAGCGAATGGCTGGCACAAAGTACAACTCTCATGTTAAGTTAATATAATGTGCACGATTTTGTGGGATCCATAGTCCCAGCTGTAGCTGCCTGGTTTATCAGCTCTTCCAGTGGCAGGTCTTTATGCACAATAACCTGTGGGCAACGGGCTGAAATGCCACCAGTAAATCCAGAATCTCAGAGTCACACTTTGTTTTCTTTAACCTAAGAACCTTCTGTTTGCTTTGCTTTGTTCCTTTCCTCTGATTTAACGTTGACAGGAAGTTGGCTGCAGCTTTGTGTCAGCATCACTGTTACCCTTTCCATCACTGTCAAGGCCCAGTATCACCAGAAGCTGGTGCAGTGGAGTATGCCGTTCCCATTGCATTTTGATCCTCCTAATTTTATGTTTATAGTTTTCACATTAAAAAAAACGGAGTGGAAATGCCAAAAAATTAGAAAAATCTTGAAATATCATAAAAGACATGTTTAGACTTTGCTGAGGAAACTTTCATAAAAGCAATATATGACACAGTGCAATAGAAACAGATGTAAACACTCCTAACATTCAGTAAAATGGACAGCAGTGGATGGAAACAGGAATTTACTTGGATTTTTTTTTGCAAATTTTTCTCAAAATTCAGATTTTTTTTTTGCAAATTTTCTCAAAATTCAGATATAAATTTCAAACCTCATTTGGACGGACGTCTAGCTTTTTACTGGGCTTGTTGGGGAAGTACTGGAGCTGAAGAGCTACCTGATAACACACTAGCCAGGAAATCACAGTTCTGAGCTAAGTTTCTTTTCTAATTTCTCTGATTTACGCCACCTGTTAATTTGTTCTCAGGATTGTTCATCATTTAATAAAGAGTTACTGATGAGGGAAACGCATTAAAGGGTTGTTAACTAACAGGACTGTGTCATAGCTGCACACTGTTCCTCTGTTGTAGAGTAGGTGACACATGAGGCAGGACAAGTGGATGATAGCATACAGCTAACAAAGCTGTAGGCCCTTGCTTGATTTAAGACTCTGTTCACGTTAAAGTCAGCACTGGGTTCAGGGTGGATCAGAGTTCTCCAAAGTTGAACTTGCTGTCGGTAGTGCTGTGACACTTGGCCTTGACACTGTTTGTTGTTAAACAGCTCATATTAATAATAGCACAGTGCCAGTCACAGGGTTGGAAATGATCTAAAGGCTACTATAAACAACACTTTCTAGGTTCCCCTGTGTTTCCCACGGTGCCTGTCTGCCTAAGTTCAAGTCACAAAAATAAGCCACTGTTTTGCTTCTAAATAAATGTTAAGTGAAAGTTTCAAACAGCAGCATTAAATATTTTCTTTGGCCACTTGGGGGACAGCCAAACAAAATGTGGAGGCGTGTGATGACACATAAAAACGATAAAGTAATTGTGTCTGTAAAGTTGTGTTTTCCGTATCTAGCAGACACAGATGATTCATGTTGAGTGTTTTTTTTATTTATCCATCTTCCCATTTTAGGTCCAGTACTCACTGTCTTTGCTCTGGTTTTGCATCCATTAGCTCCTGTGGGCAGGATGTAGCAGAACTTTTTCACTGATAACAAATGCTGTTTTCTTAAAACACTGTCATGCTGAGAGGAACAGCAGAGTTTGGCAGTGATTTTTTTGTGGGTTCAACAGAGCAAGCAACACCTTTTACATTACTAATAGTTACCTGATGCTCTAAACATAGAGACTGGTGCAGCTTTAAGAAATGGACGGGTCATGAACAAACCTTTCTGTCTTGTGTGTAGTTAACTGAAGTTGTGATACCTACCACAAGGTGTGTCTCTGTTACTTCACCAAGATACATTTTTTGCAGAATTTGTTGCTGTCAAAAGCAGGTTGTTTGCTAGAACATACATTATGCAACTTAATGTATGTTAGACACATTGGATTAGTTAAACAAATGTCACCAGATCAGGACTAAAGCGCTTCACCTTCAGATTCTTGGGCTGTCGGCTGTTTTGGGAACCAAACGAGATTGAGCCATTCCCAGTGCTTAGAGCAGAATAAAGTAGTTTTAAGTTGGTTAGAGGTGTTAGAAATGAAACGTAGAGGGTCTAATGAGGATTTAGGGGACGTTAGGAGCAATCTATTTCTATGGTAACACCCTAACTTTAGACACCAACGCCTCCTCAAAAACCTTTGTTGTTGACACACTAAGCTGAATCAACAAACTTTTTAGTTCACAATTTGTCTGCATTCTTCACACCAACGACGTCATCCCCCCTCCCCAGAGACTCATCCCTTCATCCTCCTTCCCTCCCTCCTCTCCACACCTCTCCTTCTCTCCATATCTGCTCGTTGAACATGAACTGATGCTTGACAGTGACGATCCCAGAGGAAAATAGTTTGATTTCCCTCACGTTCACACTATGAGTGAGAATAAATGTGGCATGTGTAGTTTATTGAAGTGAAAAATATAAAGGTTGGCGATCAGTTTTGTGTCGATTGAATCAATTCAAATAAAACTGCAGTTGCAGTGATGTGGGATCAATAAACTATCCTCTCTCTAAATTTGTATCACACTGTGGAGTAACTACCGAGCTAAAATATGACATTGAATACTTTTACGTCTCCTCTTAGACACGTCTGAGCAGTTTTTTTTTGGTATTTTCACCAGATAAAAAATTACTTAAAATTTAAACATCCTCTTCCTCTTTCTGTGATATTGTGACGGACAAGTTGTTTCAGAACTTCACAACATTTCATTCATTATCTTGAAATGATTGAATTGAATCCGAATTGGTCCCAGCCTCTGAAATACTGTACTGCTATTTACACTCCAGTGTTTTCTTGTCTCCATATAAACCAAACAGGGGAATCACTGAAAGGAGCTTAAGGTCGTAAAATTACACACTGACGAGATTTTTTTAAAAAGCTACACAGTAGTTGTTTTGTGACAGGGCAGTAAAAGGCGTAAGCAAACACAGCAGTTGTTTTTTTGTCACACAGCGCTGCATGTCAGGGACTTGAATGCCGAATCATGAGCTTTTTTTTTCCCAGAATTAATTTTACCCAGAGCTGCGGTTTTGTCATGAGTGATGTGCAGTACAGGCCGGTAGCCAATCAGTGATCTCAAGACAGCCTGTGCTCTCTTACACCAGGTTCAGACTACATGATATCGGCGTCACCTGGAAGATAAAGGACGTCAACAGCATGAGGGTTGGTGGTTTTACTCCATGGTGGGCGTCATAGTCAAGTGGCTGCCAAAGTTTAAGACTGAAGCCAGCATGGCAGTACCATAGCTGCATATTGCAAGAAACAAATATCTCAACTTCAAAGAGTTTCTCTCTTGAAATATTAGGTTATTTTTTTGTTTCTGTTTTTATTAATGGCCCATGATTGTCTCGATGGCTGAATGCGGTCCCTCTGCTAAGCATGCTGGTGGTCATTTTGGAAATGATTGCTGCTTTAAAAAGATTCCAAGGCTGATAGAGTGTTTTTGACGTTTTCCACGTGGCTATTGATTGACAACTGGGATTGAAAGATGGCTTTTGCAGCTTCTTTTTAAAGAAGAAACCATTTTTTGTGATTAAATAGGTTCCCTATCAAGATGCTGTCATGCATTATTATACTGAGTTTAGTTTGTGCTTGATGATGATTGTTAGCACATGGCAGCTGGTTAGCGTTTAGGTCAGTTGGTTTACCAGGGCATGTAAGTGAGCAAGTGGAGTTGGACGGTCCTGGCTCCTAACAGAATAGTTGGCGCTACTTGTGTGCTGCAGCATTGGGCTTCAAACCAGTTCATCTATGTACACCGACTCTGATCATAGCGGACGAGAGCAAGTGCTTCAGCTTGGCTTACTACATCCTGACAAAAAGATCGTTATTATTATTATTTTAACCTTTCCTATCTTCAAATGATCACTTCACACTTCCACACTGTGTTCTGTGATGTCGACCAGTTGAACCACAGAGAGCATGGCGACAGTCACGGCAGACTAAAGTACAGACAATCTATACTGTCCTCTGGTCATAAACCACCGACAGGCCCACAGTCACTTCTTCTTTTGTTTAGGCTTCCAACACGACATCCAGTAATCCAGTGTCCTGCACATCGCTTTAGCCTCTGTTGTTTTCATTTTGTTTCAGTTCAGTGTTATGTATATAGCACCAGTCTGACAAGTTGAGAAACCCAACAAATTTTCCTGACTCCTCCCTTCTGGTGACGGATCAGTGCATAGGTTGTCGTGCCTCTCTACTAAGTCACTGCAAGAACTGATGACTCTGTTATCGCCTAATCTGACATAAATATCATGTAGTCTGAGCCCGGCTGTAATGTAGCCTCCGCAAAAAGACGAGTAGTTCTGCTGTCTTTCGTTAACAACATTGACAGGCTTCATCTAACCACGTGAGAAACAAACTTGCAACAGCACACCTGTGTTTTCTGAACCATTACTAAAAGATGGCAGACGATACCGGACTTAAATATGTCCCCAAAATCCTACTGATAATGAATTCAGAGCCAGAGAGAAGGTTTTTCTTTTGTCGATTGATTGATTGATGAGTGATGTGCAGTCACTTCTAGCATCGCAACAGAAATGTTAAATACACATTTTCCAACAAAGAGCCTCTAGACACGTGACTGGAACAGCAAACATGGAGATCTTTAAGTGTTTGTTTACTCTTGTTTGAACCATCAGTGTAGTTCCAGAATAAGGGTTTTATGTTACAGAAAGTGTCATGGATCAGTGATACACTGGTTGCATCAAGAAAAACACTGGAGAGGCTTTCAGTCAGCGGCCTGTAGGCTGTAATTCTCACAGCCTGATCAGCCCCCTGGATGTTTAGACTAAAACAATCAAATCAACAGAAGTGTAGAAAAGAAGACTTGTTGGCTGTTTATGTGTGTTACTAGCTACAGACCCTAACTACAGTTGTTTTAGACATAAGTTAACAGCTTCTAGTAAGGCACCCCTTAAGCATTATCAAGCTGCATCTGGAAATGTCAAATCATTTTGTGTAAGTACGGATAACTACATCTCCATAGTCTGACAAAAAAAAGAAAAGAATCTGATGGCTGTGTTAGATTGGATGTTTGCCATGGTCTGTGTGAAACAATGAGGAAGCTGTTACTGTTTTTCACAATAGTATATTATATTCTTTATATTCTTTGGCACGCTTTGAAGTGCATCACCCCATTGTGTCCTCTTCTGCAACAGTTTAGTAGTACAGCTGGGAACATTTGTGCCACCCGCTGTTTACCTTGACCAACCAACTCCTAGTACTGGCAATATGGCAGTGGAGAAGGAGAGGCGTTAATTCACTTCCTCAGTTGCTGATTTTCTTGAAATTCTGCTCACATTTGTGCTGCGTGTGGATGGAAACCAGCTACAGGTTTCCTGCCCATGTGGGTCTCATTGAAAGCTTATATAGAAACATGACTGACTCATCATTTTAATGCCATTAGATCCTATTTCTAAACAATAATGAAGGGCAGCCTTACTAGACCTTGTTTACCTACAACACCCAACCAAAATGAGATCTGTCAGCAGGTCAAACACAGGTGCTTTGTCCCTACCGGGCGTATGAAGGTGCACGGTCAGCCTGAAGTTAGTGCTCAGCGCCACAGACCTCCACACGGTGGCACCAGCTGACACAGTCTGGATTTGAAGCGTCGGGTAAGACCTGCTGACGTTCTGTTGCTGTGCCGCCTCCGGTACTGATGTCGTACTCTTTAGTTCCGTATCACCTGTGCTGTAGTCGAGTCTTACCTTTTACTGACCGTATTAAAGGGCAGTTTCTTGATGGTTTCAGTTGGCTTTGAGTCAATACTACGAGGCAGCTTCTCTTCAGACGGAGATGCTGAAAATATTCTGTGCATGACAAGCTTTTTATATCCCAACAAATACATGGCTTTGTACTGAGGACTCCAGTGTCCCAGAGAGAGAGAATGGCAGTAATAATAATAATAGTCTTACAGTGTTTTAGAAAAAAAGCAAAAGGGAGATGTCTTAATAGAGACTAGCATTAATATTATTCAGAGGGAAATAACATTAAAGATGGATTTATCTGTTCTTCTGATGGTGAGGAATTGTGTGATGATACTGATGACTGTAGATTGTTAAATCATTTTTTTCTTTCTTTTCTTTTGGGTTGTGAATAATTAAACTGATGCTGATTTAAAATTGAAACCACTCCGAGTCTTTATTTCTAAATATTGAAAGTACATTTGTTTATCACATTGTGGAATAAAATGATGTATTTGTAATGCACAATTCATACAGAAATACATGCTTAGCATAAAAAAAAAATAAAAATCAACACATATACAGCAACACAGTAAAATAGGGATAAATACAATTAAAGTGAGTCAAATTAAATTAAAAAGACAAGACCAGATGAAACAAGTGTCTCAAGATTCTGTTTAAAAGATGAGATTTAGAAGCGCTAACAGCTTTGGTATTAAACTCTAAAACTGTCGAGGACCAAACAGACACATAATGTACAGTATGTGTCAGCTATGTCAGCCCGTGGATGATGTATGGATCGAGAGCACGTCACCACTTCCTCCCAATGTATAAAAGTAAGAAAACAGTCTGTTCACTCACCATTTTATAGATAAAAATGACCAGCAAGTGTCACCTGTACATTGGCACAAGGTGGCAGTGCCCATGTCCAAGATATGTTGGCTTCACTTCTGGGGAACTTTCACGTTGCCCATCTTTATAAAGTGTGTGTCACATAGATGAGGTGTCTCAAAGCCATTAACTGATTTCAGATCAGTACAACAGTCCTCTAAGTATAAGGATGTTTGTCTACGATAATGGTCACTCTGTCAAATTAGGCAAAACATCATCATGAGTTACTGCTGTGACTTTGTGGAGACACAACACACTGGTTGCATTATTGTAGTTTGCCATTTTACATCAAAAGACAATGTCATAGTTTAAATCTGGCCAACAACCTTTGTCATCTTTTTACTGTCACAGTCTGTAACACAGACGTAAAAATGGCTAAACAGGTCATCCTAGTGACTAAACGGACATATATTTTGTGTATTTTCTAAGGTTTTGCATTTATGAACAAATAAATTCTAAAGAAGTTGTTGTTATTATTTGTGTTTTGTTATTTATTTTATTTTTTTTAAAAAAAGTGTCTGTGCAGGTGAACGTGTGTAGGCATCTGCATCTGCCCTGTCCTCTCTCTCATTTCCTCGCCTCTCCTCACTCTGCAGCCTTTTCTTTCATTTTCTTTCAAATGTTTCTTGCTTTCAACTTTGATGAGCTGGATGTAGTTTTAGTAGAATGCACAAGGTTCAGTCATTGTGATATATCAGGAAACACAAGACAGATCAATAATCATTCAGCATGCTCTGTAACAGAGAAATGATACTCAGACAGGAATAACAACAACATGCTTTCTTCAGTATAAACCACAATTTCTCACTGTACTTTGTGTCAAAACCTGGCTCGTGGGTTATAACAAATGTGGCAAAGAACACAGATTTAACTCAAAATAAGGATGTTTATTATAACCAAAAGCCAACCATGTAACAAATAAGTATGGCACAGTGTTAGTAGTGTAGGTGTGACTGAGTGAACATGATGGGATGTAAGGTGTTGGGGAGGGAGAGCAGGATGGCTGAACTTTATGTGCCGTCCTGATGCCTTCAGGGACCCACAGGTAAATGGAATTCTGGGCCTCCATGGCAGCAGCTGACATTGGGCCTTATCAGTGGATAATTGCTCATTAAATGGATTACATTTTTTGTAATACACACACACGTATATATATATATATACATTTTTTCATTTTTTTTTTTACTCTTAAGGATCTAAAGATCTGAGGGGTCACAAGAAGGTTATTGGAAGGAAAACAAGAGGAAACAAAAGCTGCTAACATTGGGCCCCAACTAGACACTATTGTTACGTTTTTTGGAATCCACTTATTTAATCCTTAACATTGAACCATATCTAATGAGCTCATCATATGTTTTATGTCAAATCTTAGTGTTAAAATCTCAAACTGAAAAATAACTTGTTTTTAAAAGTCAAATATATGTGGCGTACTTACTGTAACTGGCACTTACGGACAGCATTTGGTTACTGACAAACCTTCCACCACTGACTGCATCCATTACATTTCACATATTGGACCAAACCGGTGAGCTGATCCTCACCTTGGATTGCGCAATCCCTCACTACCTGCGCTGGCTGCCTGCAGTGACCACGTGCTGCTGTCTGGATGTCACCTATAACATGATTCAAACACATTTAATATTCGTGTGCTGAGCGATCATAAAGCAGCTGGGAAAAGGTTCCAGGTGAGGCAGGCAGTTCTCTGGCCTCACGGCAGGGGGCGCTCTGATCCCAGACATGCTTCTTGTGACTCCGTGGCTGCAGAGTAAGTGACAGCCAGGTGCGGCGCATGGACTTCATTTAAAGGTGAAGGTAAGACCGCAATCACTATTTAAAAAAAAATGAAATGTGCGTTTTGTGGGCTACAGCTTGTATGTGTAAAGATATGAAACACAACCCGTGAACTGCTGCCAATCAAATGGCAGATGAGCTCCTCTGTAGAGTGCATATATTTGTAAATGTGATTGTGATGAAGTCAGTGCTTCACAAGCCATGAACCTCACCACATGTCACTGCCACAGCTGTAGTTACCTCCAGACCCTGTGGTCAGATTCAGGTGTTCTTGGAGACTCTTTTTGTATCACTTGGCCGTCATTTAAAATACATGCCAGTGGTATGATTCATTTCAAATCATTTACAGATCTTAAAAATGCCTGGCAAGATTCAGAGGCAATATTTTTTTCCTGAATACATGACATTAGCTCAGTAGAGTTCCTCTTTGTCACAGTAAGGATAACAGACTTTAGATCAGCTCTTCTTGTTCTGCACAGATGAGTGACTGGTTGCTGACTCAGTAACCCTGTTTGGATGTCACATGCTACACCAGGGATTGATTTTGACTCTGGCTGGAGCTTCTGGATGGTCTCTCAGCCCATGATACTATCATGACATTAAGTTTTCTGCCACATGAGGGCACCAGTTGACAGCCTTCCAACATACTGCATAGTGTCATGTTATGTGTATATGGTCGTGGGTGATGCTACGATTCTCTGAAATGATTGATACTGGAATACATTTTACCATTAAATGATAATCTGTTCCACATACTTGCCCTGAACCCCTGCTGACAGAAAGCAGAGCTCTACAGCAAACTTCCTGTCAGCCGTTGCTCCGCAGACACCATCGTTTTTAGCCCGCTCTCCTTTACACCTCTGACTGCCTTCATTTGGATGTACATTCTGAGTAACATCGTCTATGTTGTCCCTTTCTCTTATGTTACATCGGGTTCAGATTGAAAGCGTTAAACAAAATACTTTAAGCTCAGGGAATCCCAGGTCTGCACTGGAACAGGATTTGACATTATCAAGGTAACTAAATAGTTTGGTCTTTATTACTTTATTGTCATTGCACAGAATACAACAAAATGGAGTTTTTGCATATCAGAAAGCTGGGTCAGCCACGGTACTGCCCCCCTGGAACTGACAGAACCTGGCTCAGGGCTCCACAGCGGCAGCTTGGTGATACTGGGGCTTAGAAACCGCCGATTTTCTGATCAGTAGGCCAAGACAACACGACCACTGTACTGGTAAACAGTTAGTTTCTTTGTGAGTACCATTTAGTGACTGATTATAATAATATATAACTGATTATAATAATAACTAATTATAATACTGACTGAATGATTATTATTATTATTGTTGTATAAAATATATGTTATATTGATTGGAAAAAAAAAAGTGAGCTTTTACAAGATTGAATTTCCCTTCTGGGATAAATAAAGTATTTTTCTTTCATTTCATTTCATTTAAAGACCACATTTGTAATTTTCCAAAACAATCTCATGGTGCACAGTGATAATTGAACTTGAATCGTGACTAAGAAACCTACATGTGAACATCTTATAGACACGAGGATAGTGATATTCAGAAGTGTATTAATTACACACAACCTGCAATTGTTTTCATCTTTTCCTTTAGCTTTAGCTGCTTCAGCTGTGTTACTTTTAGTTTGTATTATAAGTTTAAAATCTTGGTTTTTCTCTAAGTATGTTTCCTCTTTGTTTGTAAAATATGTCACTGTGGTGCCAGTAGACCTGTCCATGTGTATGACTGGTCATCTGTTGCCAGCTCTGGACTGACTTCCTGAGCTGATAACCAGCTTTGTAAGATGGATTGTTAGTTTAAATGAAGCCAGAAAATGAAAATATACTGTGGGTATGTTGAACTCACTTTGTGGTACAGGCTCCTGGTCTCAGACTGTCACAACCGTATGATGTCACTGAATTTGTAATTTAACAGACAAAAGCAAGAAACGAGTTAAAGGACGCTTTCAAATTTTGTACAAAAATTAAATTTATATTGCTGATGCTGGCGTTAATCTAAACAGCTCATATAAAGGCTGTGTGCTCTTACGTTCTCAGTGATGCGAAATGATTTTCAGAGAAGCTACGGCATGCTTGTCACAAAACTCTTTTTGTATTTAAAATAGTTTATATATTTTTTTTAGAGTGTACCTTTTTTTGTTGACAGCGTTTTATATTTAGCTGATCACACTTCAACAGAGAGATTCAATCTGTTCACAGAAGATGTGCTGAGACAAATTGAGCTTCATAAGTTTTAATGTAATTTATTTTAGGATATTATCTTCATTATCTGGATGAAGCTCAAATATGTCAAAAAAACACGCAATTTACATGATATATGCTTCTGTTTTCACGGCTGTAGACTTAGAGTAGATGGAGGAGATTTAAGCTAAACTGCTCAGGAATGGGCAAAACTGAGTTCTGGTTTCGAACAGAGGCAGGTTCCCCGTCATGAGAAACAAAACGTAGAGCGTAGAGGAGGAGGAGGAGGAGGAGGAGGTGAAAGTCTGCGGGGCTTTTGTCGTCGATTTGGTGCCGTAAAGCTAAACCGAATGCTGACAGAAAATGAGAGTGACAGTGGTTACGGAGTAGAGAGCTGTGTGAAGTTAAAGCTGAGATGAGTCAGACAGGTGGACTCAGATGATTATGTATTTAGACGCTTTATGGCTGCTCACTCACTCTTCCTGCACAAACAAGGTCCCACACACCGAGTCGTACTTTTGGAAACTTGTCATCCTACAGGTGTGAGGCAACACATCATGGTACATTTCTAGGACTTCACATTCTTAGTTCTTGTCACTCTCATTTAAAAGCATTTCAAATGCAAATGAACCCGCTTGTGAAACTTTGGCAGCAGAAAACGCACCAATTAGAGGCAGTTTTGAAAGTCTTCAGCATCACGGAATTTCAGTTTGTTCAGAAAAATCAGTTCATCTTTAACTATGATAAAATGTTTTCAGCAGAAAGCATCTCCAGACAGTTATTATAGTACAGTAGCATTACATTAGATACCATTATAAGCATTTTTTGTGGTAACGTTGTTCAAAAAGTTTAACATTATTCGAGCATAATGCTGTAACCCTCCTCAGCCATAAGCCAACAGCCAGTGATTAAACCGTCTCAGCATGCAAAACAGCAATGCACAAGCAAGCAGACAGACCGCAACGCAACTCAGCTTTCGAAAAGGTGTTCTCACAAAAGCAAACAAAACAGCAAAGCAAAATGGATGCGTATGTTTGTGTGTGACTGTTTCGACTGGGAGTTCTACCACACAGGTAAAAAGTCACAGTTTCCACCCGGTCTAGTCCAGTTCACAATCACAACTTAAAACACAATTCAAAAACTCCACTCTGGGTTTTACTGTGCATCCTCCCCAAAACCAAACCAGGAACTCAGAAAATAAATTATCAGCCTCTTGTAATGCAGTCGTGACATGTCTCCTCAGGCAGTTTCACCACCAGTCACACCTTAAGACTTCTGCGTCTCAAGTCGTTTGTAAGCCCTGATTTGTGACCTGGGTGTATGGATGAATATTTGGAACTTTCCACACTCAAAACAGAGAAATATGCTCGGATGAGAATTGTTTTCAAGAACAAAAAAGAAGCCCAACTGTTTCCTACTGAAATACTTATGTGACACATGACATAAGTCTTTATACATTTTTGTAAATTGAAAAAAAATTTTAAAAAATAAAAAAAAAGGTGGAAGTTCATAGATGCCTCTGTCAAGGATATGTTAAGGCCAGTTTCGGCTTTCCATGCCTGCTTGTCCACAAGGATTCTGCTTTTTAATTTGTCATCCACCGAAGTCCTCCAGCTGGTACTCAGACCCCTCTTTGGGCGTCTGTATTCAGTGCAAATCCCATTGCTCACATTAAAAATCTGTATCAGGGATGCAGAAGCCATGAAAGAATGGGATTAACTGTTTAAATGCAGGTATGTGAAGCTTGCTGAGAAACACATTTGTAACTTGGGATTATCTCCACAAAATTAAGAGTCTGAATAATTTTGCAAATAAGAGATTTCAGTTTTTGCTTTAAAAAAAAATTGAGAAAAGCATGTTTAGGCATTTAGAAATGATTATTAGGTGAGAGCAGGAATATTGGAGTAAGCCAATCAGAGACAGAGAAGGACGAGCCTTCACTATCCTCGGAAAAATAAGTCACCTGCAGCTTCCCTGCCTCCTTTTAATAATAACACAACAAAATATGGCCTTTGGAATATTTAATAAATGAAGTTAATATGAAGGAAAGATGAAATGACTACTCAAAAATTAGATATCAGAATTACAAATGACCTTGCAGTGCTACATTAGTGCTGTCAGCCAGCAGTTCAGCTAACAATCATTTAATTCAATTAATTTATATATGATAGTTCACAATATATCCCATTTCAAGGCACTACAGATCATAAGGTGAACACATCCACATTTTAAACAGAGAAACAAAACAAATCCCGAGTTTCCTTTGGATCCACTTTGAGCAGCTACGGGAGGAAAAAACTACCAGGAAGGAACCTCTGGCCTCAGAACCAGGCTCAGGGAGGGCGGCCTTCTGTGGTCGGGGTTCGGGGAAAAGAGAACAAGACAGCAGATAAACAATGCATACGAGAACAATGAACATGTTGGAGGTCAGTGAAGCCAGTGACTGCAGATCAGAACGGTGTAGCTCCAGATCCAGAGACACCAGCAGAGAGAACGAAAAGCTATCTACAAGACGCAAAGTCAGTGATGTGAAATGGCGGTTTAGCTAGACAGAGAAAGAACAGAGGAGAGGAGCTCAGTGCGTCATGTGAAGTCCTTCTAACGGATGGTTCAAGGTCACCTGCACCAGCTTTAACTATAAGTTTTATCAGAAATGAAAGTTAATCTTAAAAATAGTTTGTCTGCCTCCTGAACCCAAACTGGGACGTGACTTCTCAGCTGAATTCTCTGCCTCCCAGTCTGTTACATTGAGTTACATATCAGCGCTTTCATTTAATCTCTTAATTTCACACAAGACGTGACACAAAATGATATGATACAGCATATATATGATGGCTTCATCCATCCCCGTCCGAGCACTGATCCAAGCGCTCTATCATTCGTTGATGCAGTGCCCAAACATTTATCAAACATGTTGAAAAAAAAAAGCACATTTAGTCTAGAGTTAGTAACTCTTCTCTTCACCTCTTCCTCCCACATCTTCCTCCTTCTTCCTTGCTTCAGTGTTTTTTACTTTCCCCACCCCTTTCTGCGTCGGCTCGCTTTGAAGGGAGGAAATGTGCACTTTTGCACAAGCAGCAGCAGCAGCAGGCCGGGGATGAAGTGATTCACTGCCTGGAGAAAGAGAGAGGGGTTGAGGAGTTCTGCATCACTTCCTTTCTCATCAGTTTTTCTGTTGTTGGCGTCTTGATCTTGATTTGTGTCGTCTGTTCTCTTCCTGCCGTGTGTCAGTCTTCGTACTTCACTTGTTGTTCACGGTTCCTGTGATGGATCTCGTTACTGTTTTCATCGTCTCAACCTTTTTGTCCGTGACTGCTGGTAAGTGTGTTTTGTTTTTGGGATATATTAAAAAAATTAAAAATCCAGGCAACTAGCATTAGCTTCAGGTGTCAGCTTCAACCCAGTAAGATCCTGTGACATTACAAGAAATAAACATGACTGTGAAGTGACAATCAGTGAGTTTGTACCATATTGATATGTTGAAAATGCAACAAATGAGACTAATATGCAGAAAACCATCCATCCATCCATCATCTATACACCGCTTAATCCTCACTAGGGTCGTGGGGGGCTGGAGCCTATCCCAGCCGACTTAGGGTGAAGGCAGGGTGCAGAAAACCAAACAAACAAAACAAAAAAACTGCATGGAGAGAGACCAATGTCATTTTCACATGAACAATTTTCCATTCTATGTAACAGAACAGCAGCTTTAATCTGCGTCTAAAGCTGGTCTGAGGGTTGCTATCTGCAGCTGACCTCAACGTTAATCATACATTACAGTTGATTTTTGGAGAGACTACACTTTTTCTCATTTAAGCTGGGACAAAATATAATGTGGTTGTCAGTCGATAGTGCTCAGTTCAGCAATTAAAATAGAAACCCGGCTATTTCTTTTATTGACTTTCTGTAAATGTTTAACATAAGTTAAGCTTAAAACCAGCATCTGCAACTTCATTTCAATGTCAGCCTGCATGTGCTTGTACAAGCACTGCTGCTGCATCTTTTAAAACTACCCCTCCAGTGTTTAATTTATCATTTTAAACTCCATCATGCACCCAGTAAATTTACTTTACGCCTATCCTGACTTTGTGCCTCTTCTGGTTTGTAACCAGCAGAAACTTGTGCTTTCTCCCGCGGTAAACAGGCCTGTCGCATGGCGGACACGTCGACGTGTGAAAAGTCGCTCAGCTTAATAACATTAATCCTGGCTTGTATTTAGACACACTCTAGCAAACTAGTAATGTGGACGGTAGCGAACTGACTTACTGACTCACAACAATGGAACAGAACCAACGTTTCTGTTAATCGCGCTGGTTTACGCCCGCCGAGACGAGTCAAACTGCCTGAAACAGTCACAAAGTCTGTTACCGTCGTGAAATCTTGCTGAGAGCATGAATTAGTCATTGGTAAAGCCAGTAAGCTTTTAACCCTCTGGAACCTGTGCAGTTTGTGGGTGTTCTGTTTTTTTTTGCTCCTGTCACATTTTTGCTCATTCTTGCACCTCTATGGAAACAGCGAAACCGTAGCCAGAAGTAAACAGAACTCCAAATGTTTTCTGTGCGGTATGACACTCCTATGGTCATTTATTGTACAAAACATTTTTAAAAACCTGGCATTAAATGTGTATAACACTTTTTTCAAGTGCCCACAGGTCTTACAAATATAAGGGGGAAAAAAAAATCGTGATTCTATGTACGATATAAATTTGATTACTTGCATTTGTTTCCGTTCTTCTCTCCTGATGACTAGAAAACCCATCCTGACATGAAGCCGTACTTCCGTATTGTACAGAGTTCCTTTTAGACGAAAAATTAAATTTAATTGAAATCATAGAATAATACAAGCACGGTCTGAAGTTTAGCCCGCAAAATAATCTCTACAATTTGTAATGTTGCTGCTTGTCGCGGCAGAGTCACGAAAACCTTCATGGTCGCACCAAGACAGGCAGAATTCTTTTTTTTTTGTTTTGGAGATATGTATAATTAGTTAATTCTGATGAAATGCCACAATTTTATGCACAGATTTAGTTAGTTGTCCTCACAAAACACAGATGAGAAGTTGAAAGACCGTATTATGACAGTTAAAAATCAACAATTCTTTCTGTTTTTACTGTTTCTAGCTCTGATAAATGGTTTAATTTTGAAATTTTGTTTGGCACGAGACAACCAGTCAGGGTGGCACAACTTAATCTGCGGACTACGCTGACAAAGCTACACTGGCCATTACTTTTTACTTGGCAGATGCTTCCCTATGCGATTATGTGAAAAAGACTAAACTCGTTTATCTGTATGATGCTTCCTCGTCTAAGATTTGTCTGTAGAATTCTACCTCAAACTAACACATGACGCTACATAAACAGATGGTATTTCATCATCTTGTTGTTACCTAAAATAACACTCTCACTTGTGCAGTGTTGTTAATATTTTGCTGCTTTTGGTCCTAAACATCTGCTGAAAGTGGAGCACAGTAACCAATACGATACTGTGATCTAGTGAATAGTAAAAACAAGCGGCACACCTACCCTGCAAAAACTCACAAATCACACATTTTTGCATTTGATGTGTCATTTCCTGGACGTTGGTGTGAGCCAACTTTATTTGTCTACACATTTTTAAACACAGGCAAAATGAAAAGGACGACATTTAGAAATAATGCAGCAGTAAAAACACAATATCAGAATCAATTAAGACGTAATGAGATCTATAAAACAGATACGACAATATAACATAGACCAACAGACCAATGACATAAAGAACAATGTTTTTGTCAAATAGACTTGAACGCTGTTTTGGCAGCGCGGTGAAGTTTTGATGCTGGTTTTGAAGTGAGTGAAAATACAATAAAACACAATCAGACCATCTCTTACAGTTTAAACGTATGATAAGTGGGACCTCTTTTGGTTTGTTGCGTGTTTATCGCAGATTGAATCATGCATCAAAATACGATTCTATTTTTTTATATGACTCTTTAATTACACATGTTACAGGTTTTAGGCGTCTGCGGTAGGTGGTGATAAACAGACGGTTCATCCAAACGGTTTTCACTGGATTCACTGATGGGTCTCTATAACGAACCATCTGACGCATCAGCTTAGCCTTCTGCAGGGAGGTCTAAAAAACATCACCGATGTCTTTAACACAAAAAAAACTGATAGTTATGAATGTATTTTTTACAAAACCTGATAAAATCTTTAGAAAGTCACTGACAAAGTGTTGAATAATGAATCTGTTGCAGAGAGTTTGAAAACTGTTGCGAATCTTCATGAGCATTTTGAATCCTTTCCGTGTGTACGGCCTTGTCAAAGATGGTCACTTTATAATTATAATAAAATTCTAAGATCAGATTTTGCAACAAATCCTGCATCAATAAAAACAAAACAAAAACAACTCCAAATAATACGTGATACTGTGATACAGAATTTGCTGATACCACTGATGTACTTTTACAGTTTACAGCTGATATTCTTAATGCAGGAGTTCTGTTTCTGCCGTTTTACACGACTAAGCTGAGCTCAGAAGTTTGTGATCTTAAAATACTGTTTTTATAGGTTTTAGATACTTTCTGTGTGTAGTTGTTTTATGATGCGTTTCTCCTGCACCGAACCACATTACACACATTTAAAACTGAAACCTCTTCCGCTCGGAACTTCGAAGTTTTACATAAAGTTAATTCATGATCGTTGTTAGTGGCTTGACTTATTGAAAAGCTTCTCACTCCGTCACAGAATACATTTCTTCATCTTGTGTACAAGAGATTTCAGAATGTAATTGTTTTATATATTCCAAATAAATAGCAGTTTACTTAGTTAGAAACATGCAGCAAATCAAATAAAGTTTACTTGTTGAAGTTTGAAGCAAATCTCAGCCATGACTACTGTCACAATCCCAAATCGTAATTAGAAGAAGAAGCTTTATTGTCATTGTGCAAAAATCAGATGTGTGTACCTCCCGTCTGACCTGTCGTCCTGGTTCCTCCTTGCTGAAGCATCGTTACTGTACCTTGTGAATCTCTAGTTGTGAGAGCAGTTGCTGTTTGTTGTCGCTGTTTCATGGTTAATCTCGAAGTCAGGTTTCAAAACGTAAAGTTGTCCCTGACGAGGACCTTGTTAATATGGGCGACGTCCTTTGTGACTTTTATACTTGTGGATTCACTCACACACTCTCCCGTGCCAAAATCAGGGGTGTTACCCATTGAGATATCCAGCTGCTTATTTATGCAGCACTTAACAAATTTATTAAAACCTCTGTCATCGAGAAAACATAAATATTTTAGAAATCTTTCAAAAACTTGTTTAAAACTAAACATTTTATTGTTTTTTTTTTGGCAAATCGCAGACTGAAACAACTAAAAAGTCCTTTTTCACACAAAATAACCAAAAAACCTAATATTTCGTATGGCTTCCTCTGGCCTTCATAACAGCTTGCATTCTTGCTGGTATTGTTTTTATGTACTTTTTGACAGTCTCTTTTGTTATTGAGTTTCAAATCGTTTGTAGCTGTTCCCACAGACTTGCTTTAGATGAAACGTTTGTGTGATCAATCTTTGAATGTCCCAAATTTGTTGATTATGATTCAAATCCATACTTTGACTTGGTCAGTCCATCAGTCCCAGGACGTCAGATTCCTTGTTTTTTGGTCAAATAGTCTCTACACAGCTTTGAAGTTTGCTTGGGGTCATTGTCTTGGTTGTATATGTACCCACGAACAATCAGATTCAGTCTAGAAGGGATTTCATGATGCTGATCCAGAAGCATTCATCTTGGCCTGAAGATCAGCCTTCTGTCTCGACTGCTTTAAATTTTAAGGTGTCTGACGTGTGCTTCAGTTAACTTTTGTTTCCTGCTCCTTCCTTGGCACATTTTGTAAGTACCCGTCTTGGCAGTTGACTCCAAAGCACACTTAACACTTAATGTCTCTCCCTGTTAGTCTCAGAGACCATCCAGCATCATGAAAGGCTTTAATGTGGACTCTTTCGTTTTCAGTGAACAGGAATGAGGACTTTCAGACTGAAATCACCTTTTTACACCCAAATTTGCTCCCTGGCTTCTCTGAGAAGTCAGAAATTAATCAAGCATCACATTCAACCACTAAAACATTTTGTGAGTTTTGTGAGTGAGTCCTCAGTGTCCTCACCATGGGGAGAAAACACAACACCCCAAGAGGTGGTTTCCATACAGTCCCTCAGGGCCTCCTCCACCTCAGGAGACCACCCACTGATGGAGCGTGTTGTCTTTTGACCAGAGAGGTGTCCTGAGGCTGTAGATCAGGGGTGTCCAATCCTGGTCTTCGAGGGCCACAATCCTGCATGTTTTAGATGTGTCCCTCTTCCAACACACCTGATTCAAATGATCAGGATCGTTATCAGGCTTCTGCAGAGCTTGATGATGAGCTGATTGGAAGAGGGAAACATCTAAAACATGCAGGACTGTGGCCCTCGAGGACCAGGATTGGACACCCCTGCTGTAGATGGACTAAGTTGTGGTCTGACTTCCCAAGTAGGGGGAGGGGGTGGCTCTGTACGCATCGCTTACATTAGCGTACAGGAGGTCAATTGTCCGGTTGTTTCTGGTGGGGCAGTTTACAAACTGGTGGAAAGCAGGCAAGACAGAGTTCAGTGTGGCACAAAAAGACAAAAAGTGGAAAGATCTTTAAAAACAAACAAGGAACGCTCGGTGCTGCGGAGCAAACTAGAGGCAACCGTCTCCTGCAGCACCTGGAACAAGCAAGAAGATGTTTTACATGACGATGCACAGAAACAGTGACACTACTTCTCTCAGAGTTGTTGATTGTTTTGAACCATCATGTTGATCTGTCTGGTTTCCATACTCACTGATTTTTGTTCCCCAGGAAATCCCAGTGCAACACTTCGGCCAACGAATGATACCGTCACTGCTCCGACCCGTCGCACAGACAAGGACTGTTCCTGCCCCCCTGTTCCTACATCAGCCACTGTTGCCTCCAACTGCCCTGCTCCTGTCCTGGGTCTCCTCACTGTCAATTGGACAAGAGAATGTGGAGGCAACATCATCCTGATCACACATCTACCCCTCAGCGGGTCCTTACCTGTGTGTCACAGTCAAAAAAACCTTCAGACTATTTTGGGAAATGTTTGTCAAAACAAGAAAGGTTGTAAAGGCACGCCAGAATTTTCCAGTCGATCCAAAATGGACGGTTATGACATCACTGAGAAGGGAGCAACCAAGACGCCTGACTGTAAGGAGCTGATTGTCAAATGCGAAGGTTGGTGTACTGTCCATGTGGGTTGCTCTTTGTCTGTGGATGTGTGTGAGTAAATGTCATGTCCTGTTTCATGTCCTCTGGTTTGAGATGTGTTACATGAAGATACATGGCCTGATTTTGATTTAGTGTGCAATACTTCTGTTTATCCACGAACAATCATGGGGAGACAGCAAACTCCTCAAATGCAACAGTCAAATTAGAGTGTCTTATAATTAAAGTTCAGATAAAAATAAGGGACCACCTAATCTTAAAATCAATAGGATCAATACTAAGAATAAGGCAAAGCATTTAATTCAACTGCCAGTATGTCTTTCTAATACATGCTATGAATACTGAACTGTCTTCATGTGTTGATGAAGATCATGACTTGTGACGTGAGTGTGACCATCTGAACAGAAATGCTGTGTGTGTGTGTGTGTGTGTGTGTGTGTGTGTTGTGTAGTTGAGATCCCACAGGTAGACGGACAGCTGACGGCCTACAAAGTGGTGACAGGTTTGCTCTGCTGTGTGCTGCTCATCCTGTTACTGATCCGCTTCACTAGACCCACCGTCAAAGCCCTGCAGAAAAGATGTGAGTCCACACACACACACACACACACACACACACACACACACACACACAAAACAGGCTCATGCATACATACACATATTTGCATGCAGTCTGTTTTTATGGACTCTGAAAACGCTCATATTTTCAGATTACAAATCATTAGATTAAAGATTCTGTCAGTCTGACACAACAGAATCAAATAGAGACACAGCTCAACACACTTAAAGGTCAAAACCTACCAATATTAAATTGTATAAAGAAGCCCAATAAATCAGAACGATTCCCTTTCACTAGCTCTTTGATAATAGTGGCAAGAAAAAAAGGTTTAATAAGACGAACTCTCTGGCACGACCAGGCTCAGGGAGGGACACCGCATGGGCCAGTTGGGGTGACGATAAAGGGGATAGAAAAAACGATAGCAGGCGGAAATGAGCACTGAAGAGGCTGGAAAAGCCAGTAACCACAGATCAGAAACATATAGCTCTGGCAAGTTAATAACAGGTAATGGTGGCCTGTAAAAAGCTTTGTAAAGACCCATTCCAACTGATTAGCAGAGGCTTGCAGTACCTTGCCTGGTACCCCATCAGGTCCAGCAGCCTTCCTTGGGTTGAGTGACTTCAGCAAACACTTCACTTCCTGTTTCTGCAGAGCGGGGTTGTAGGTGTCAGGGGCTGGTGGAGGTAGTGGGTCTGTTGCAGTTCTTTTAACCTCAAACCATGCAAAGAAGTTCTGCAGGTCCTCAGCCAGCAAGGCGTCCATGTTGACAGTGTTGTTGTTGCTGTCTTTGTAGTTGGTTAACTGCTGGATCTCCTGCCACATCCTGCATTGGTTGCCGTCAGGGGGATGATCCTCTACCCTCCTTTATTTCGGCTTCCTTTGCCTTCCTGATGCCTCTCTCCAGGTCAGCTCTAGCAGAGCTATGCTGCTTCTTGTTCCCTGACCGGAAGGCAAAGGTGCAGTGTTTCAGAAGTCTTTTTACCTCAGTAGTCATCCAGGGTTGTTGATTGGGAAACATCCTGATGTGTTTTTCAACTGTGACATTAACACAGTGCTTGATGTAAAACAATACAGTCTCTTCTGTGTGTTCCACCACATCAGTCTGTGAGAACAAATCCAAATCAGTCTACCTGAAGCACCTGGAGTTGAGAGAGGGCAGTCTCAAGCCAGGTCTTGATAATCGTGGCGTATGATCTCATTTTCCACCTCAGGGGGGCGTATGCTGGTATCAGGAGGACTGACCAGTATGAGTACACCCAATCCAGAGTATTTTTCCCCCTGGCTGCACAGTTTATGCCCTGGAAAAAGCTAGGGAGTACTCTTCTTGATTAAAGTCCCCTCTGTGCACTCTATCAGAATGTTTGTGCTGCTGTTTGTTCACCACAGCCAGCAGATGGGTGAGAGCGGTGCTCCCATTAGTTGCTAAAGTTAGCTCTCGTGGTAAGTAGAAGGGTCTGCAGAGAACCGACAGAACTTCTAGGTCAGGGGAACAGTGTTGTGCAACAATCCTGCTGGCGGTGCACCAGTTGCTAGCTGTATAGCGGCGTTGAGGTTGAGCAGGTATAGCCAGGTTTCAGAAATAATATCATGCAGCAGTTTCGAATGTCTGTAACGATGCTAAGTTCTAGCTCGTCCATTTTATGCATGATGGATCTGGCAGTAGTGAGGAAGACGCTGGGAAGAGAACATCGATGTGGTAGTGTTTTTTTTTTTAGCTTGGCTCGTATGCCTGACCGGCCTTCCCGCTTCCACTTTCTCTCCCGCTGCCGCCCACCAGCCCCGATGACGATCCATGGAGAGACCAGTGTTCTGGCGCTATCCTCTGGAATGCCGTGAGCCGCCTTGTGATGGCCAGACTGTTCCATAGTCCAGAGTCGATTAGGTCTATCTGCTCATAAACATCGTCTGCAAGTCCCAGACATGGAAACAGTTTAAAAAAACACAGAGAAAAGCACCAAACTGGAGAGGAACACATACACGTGCCACCATCTTGGAAAGCATCCTGGAAAATCTATGACATTTTCCAAGATTTCATTTTCCAACATGATCAATACTCTGTGCGGCTCAAAGACAGAGCCACACAGAGTCCACTGCTAATCATTATAACTCTTAGATATGAACTATATGTATAGCTGCATGTTGACTGGTTGCTGTGCAAATTGTTTTCAGTATCAGACAGACGGCAAAATCGCTGGATTGGACCTACACAGAGTCACAGCGGTGAGTCAGACACACTCTTTCCTCCAATCAACACAGTATTATGTGTCACTCAAAGCCTCTTACCTCTTTTCTTATAGTTCTGCACTGGCTGGCATGATGCTTTAATAACACAAACACACTCTGTAGCTCTTATTTGACTCAGTTTGACACAGTCCACGGCTTTTTAAATGCACTATATCATCCTGTTTAAGTATCACTGTTATTTTGATGAAATTAGATTATATTTTTAGGAGGTTATATACATCAGGAAACAGCCTGGACCTGAGAGTGTTTGAAGACTGACTAACACACTGTTGGTTCGGGTCTGCACATAGGATTTGTTCACAATTAAACAATACACAGCAACACCAGATATGCTATTTTAATGTTCATTTCTTGTCTGTTTATGTCTCTGTCAGTGTCTTACCATCGAGGGAAAACTGCAGTGAAAACCAACGATGGCGATAAGAGACTGTCCTATCCTGGTAACACACACACACAAAGTCATACAGCTGTATACAGATACTTTACTTTATGTTGGTTTTTGGTTTGGTTTGTCACCCAACGGTGTGTGCTGTACATATACACACCGATCAGCCACAATGTTAGAACCACTGACAGGTTCTACGGGCTGAAGACCACTGATTGTCTCATTACAATGGCCCCTGTAGGTGGGACATTCTAGCGGCAAGTGAACAGTCAGTTGTTGAAGTTGATGTGTTACAAGCAGGATAATGGGGGGCAAAGCCTGAAGTTCTTTAGGCCTGTGACAAAAACCAGATTGTGATAACTGGGTCAGTGCTCTTGTGGGGTGTTTTCAGTATGCAGTGGTTAGTACCTACCAAATGAGATCCAAGGAAGGACAATGACATGAGTACCCAAAGCTCACTTATCAGCATGTGGTCCAGTCCTACAGAAGAGTGACTGCAGCACTTACTGCTGAGAACCTAAATGTTGGCCATGATAGAAAGCTGTGTAAACATACAAAGCTTGCTGCATGTTAGCCCCTGTCCACTGCCAAAAGCACCTACAATGCACACACAACTAGAGCAAAGAGCAATAGAAGAAGGTGACCTGGACCTGATGAATCACATATTCTTTTACATCATGTGGATGGCTGAGTGCATGCGAGTCATTTCTTTGGGAAAAATATGGCAGCAGGATGCACTGTGGGAAGAAGGAAAGCTAGTGGTCTGATGCTCTGGGCAATGCTCTGCTGGTACACTTGGAATCCCAACCTCACGACCTCCAGAACTGGAAGGATCTGCTGCGTGAAGCCTAATAACACAGAGAGCGCATAAGACAGTTTGTGCCTTTAGCTGACGGAGGCAACACACAGATCTCAAAATGTGAACCTCCAGGGGCCTGTGCTGGGAAGCGAGATAAACATAGGTTGGATATCTTTCAGAGATCCGGCTTGACTAACCCTAACAACCGTACTCAGGATAACCGGTCCTACGATGGTGGTCATTAACTCGGTATGTCAACCCGGGTTCGTGTGATCTGATAAAATGGGTGGCGTTATCAGCATCTGACCAATCGCGACTATGGACAAGTCTGGCTGCAGAGCGGCTCACTTTACCGCCGAGGAGCAGAACATAATCTTTACAAAATAGGAAGAATAATATAAAAACATAATCGGAGCAAAAAGCAGCAGCGTTGCAGCGGCCAAAGCCAGGAAGGAATGCTGGCAGGAAACTGCTGACTGTGTGAATGCATCAGTTCATTAGTTTATAATAAAATATGATCACTGCTCCGTCATGAAGGCACGTATCAGACAATAAGCACATCTTAGGATTCCTCTTGATTAATTTGTTGCCTAACGTATATACTTGTGGCATATCTGACATTGTTTTACTTTCAGCTGCAACCCTGTTGGTGTAAAAAGGACGTGGGAACAACTTAAGAACAAACATAAAAACATAATTCAAAGCGGTGTAG